CACCTCTCCGCGTATCATGTTCTCCTGATACCAGGAGTAAAATTCTGACCAAATTTTGATACATACCATGAATTTCTCGTGCCACCTCTTCGCATATCATGTGCTCCTGATACCAAAATGTCAAATTCAAGCCAGAATTCCGATACGTACCGAAAAATAAGCCCCTTGAATCAGGCAACTTATACTTACATGTATGTCGGGTCGGTTGCCTGCTCTCAGGCGCAAACGTGCCACCTCTTCGCATATCATGTACTCCTGATACCAAAATTCAAAATCGACCAGAATTCCAATACGTACCGAAAAATGGGCCCCTTAAGATAGGCGACCGATACTTACAAGTATGTCGGGCTGGTTGCCTGGTCCCAGGCGCAAACGTGCCACCTCTTCGCATATCATATGCTCCTGATACCAAAATGCAAAATCCGCCAGAATTCCAATACGCACCGAAAAATGGGCCCCTTGAGATAGGCAACCGATACTTACAAGTATGTCGGGCTGGTTGCTTGCTCTCAGGCGCAAACGTGCCACCTCTTCGCATATCATGTGCTCCTGATACCAAAATTCAAAATCGACCAGAATTCCCATACTTACCGAAAGTTGACCCCCTTGAATTAGGCAACCTATACTTACAGGTATGTCGGGCCGGTTGCCTGCTCCCAGGCGCAAACGTGCCATCTCTTCGCATATCATGTGCTCCTGATACCAAAATGTAAAATCGGTCCAGAATTCTAATACTTACCATAGTTTTCTTCGTGCCATTTCTTCGCGTGTCAAGAAATGAAAAGAAGTGTACTAGGAAAATGTGGGAAAGTATCAGAAAACAGTGGGAAAAGGAAATTTTTCTCGAAGCTGTATTTGACGTCATTGTTTCAGAAAAACCTATTAATACTATATTAAAGCCTGATGATTTACTATGAAATGTGAATTCAGAAATGAAAGGTATGTGGTAGGAGAATGATAGGAACATAAATAAAAAATGAATGGGAACGGCAAGGCAAAGTGAAAGATAAGTGACAGGATACTGAATGGTAAATGAATGAAAAATGGGAGAAATGGAAGGAAAATGGAAGACGAGTGTAGATATAATAACAAAACTTCGTTGAAGTACGATTAAAAACTTTATTTTATTTTGGTTTGCTTCGTAATTGGGAAAAATATATATAATGTTGCGTGTACCTGTAGGAACTTTGGGCTACAGATTATGTCTGGGACAATTGTCGTTTGGGTAACATGCTAATTAAAAAAAAATGTGAACTTAGAACGTGTTGATATGTTACCAACGAACAAGTTGTGAAAGAGAGGAAGAGAACAAAGTAGCTTAAACCTATGCTAAGGCTGACGCCTCATTAATTCTAAACTTACACGTTGGTAACAAATGTGGTATAAAATATGGTATTAGGTACGCATTATACGTTTCTCTCTTGCATGAACGACAAAAATACATGAAGGCTGAAATGTCCGTGTGTATCTCGCATAGTGGTCATCAAATGCGATGTCGTTTTATCATAGTATATTCGATATTAAATGAAAAAAAAAAAAGAGACGAAACAAAGTGACAGTATTATAAAAACACTCAAGTCATCTATAACAGATTTTTTTCAATGTATGAAGCTGACCATGAAACGAACTTTACGCATGGCACACGGTTAATCAACTTTTGAAAATCTGACGCTGAACAACCCTGCTAACATGTACAAAATTATATACAGCATCGCGAGATATAGCTTTGTGCTTTGTTTCTCGTTACAAGCGTATGCACCAGCTATTTCTGGTCTGTTTTTTCTTTTCTTTTTTCTTCTCTTTTTTTTTGAAAAAAGTTGAAAATTCTCGACTAGCGTACATTGTACGTTACGCGTTGGTTAAAATCTAAAAAAAAAAGTATCTCATACATGAAGTTGTTGCGAATGTTTATATCCAACATGAATTATATTAGAAATCCCTCGAACAATTTGTCCTTTGGAAGATACACGTTAAATGCTTAATTTCAGCAGGGTTAATACTCTCTCTATTGGTCTCAATGAAGACTCTCGATCGTTCAGTACTGATAACGAATAAAAGCAACGCGGCGATTACAGTAAAGCAACGACCGTTTCAACTCGAACTCCGATATCTTTTCTCGTCTAAACTGTCCAGAAGTTAATGTTTTGCGCTGTTTACTTTGCGATTCTTTCCTTTCGTGAAATAAAACTTATTCATTTACAGATCAAACATATTGAAGATTCTTAAAAATATACACTGTTCTCTTAACGTTCTTCCATTCATCTTATCGTACTCAATACAAGTTATTTTCTTGGCCGTTCCTTTTTGACTAGATTCATTCTCAGTTGAATAGGTATTTAACCCAATAACACGAGTACGAGGTTTAAATTGATACACATTCGTCTTTTTAGCCAGAACAAACTTCGGAGTGTTCGTCCCATGCAGCAACCTGAAATGTATAAGTTTATCAATAATAATCACGCGATCCATGTGGATTAACGATTACATTCGGGAATGTGTTTATAAGAAACGTAGAACAAGGAGAGAAAATAATATAGAATGTCGCATCGTACCTGGCACTCGCGGCTGCAGTACCACTGATTTCCGCAGCCAGCACATACAAATTGTGCAGCACGTTCACGACACCCTTGACATCGTGGAGGACTATCTCTGTCTTCTCTAGCATCCCTTCCACCCGAAGTAATGCGCGTTTCTCTATCTTCGATTACTGCTGATTCTTCTTCAACATCATCCTGTAAATAACGGAAGAAAGAAATAAAACCTTTTTCTGCTAACGATAAAAGTGTGAGTGATGAACTTAATTTTACGCATTAATTTTTTGCAAAGCGGCTTACAATACTGAGATTTACGCGGAAACTCGAGTGGTAACAGAAGCGGCAATCTTTGTTTACGTTAGATTTTTTCGAATCTCAAAACAGTGATAGGTGTATCGACCCCTGAATAAATTCTTAATTCTTTTTATGTATTCCTTCTGGGAAAGTATTGAAATAGGGGTCAGATTTTTAGTTTCAAGTGGTGAATACGCTTCTGACAATATTTTTGTTACGTTTGACGTTTAAAGAAAATAGGATGAAAGTACCACGTGTATTTAATTTTAGAAAAATAAGAATAGAAAGAAAGAAAAGGAAAATTCAAGGAATGACGAAATTTACTGGGATCAAATGGTTGTAATAAATTATAATACTTACGACATGAATTAAATTGTTCGAGTGAGATTGGACCGGAGTATTGACAACAGGTGTTATTGTTATTTCAGTTCGAGCCTAAAAATATACAAGTAAATAGTGTGAATGTTACGATCGATGCTACACTGATTAGCATTATAAATAATAAGTGTTTATGAAAAAGTAAAATACCTTGGAAGAAGATAGAAGGTCGCTGATAGAAACCGGATTAGAGCCTTGATATGCCTGCAAAAGGTGCTGGGTTGCCGCGCTTTGCTGTGGCATGGACGCGGCTGTTGGTGCATTCCTTTCTCTTTCAGGTGCAGTGAGTAATCTAGCTAAAGTAGGTGAAAAAGTTGTAGGTCTTGGAGATTGCGATTTCGTGAGAATTCCATGGAGCAATGAACAGCTCTGCTGAGGTGGAGTATTTGGCGGTGCCGGGGACGGTGCGACGGGATGAAGCGTCACATCCGGGTAATTTTGAGGCGTTTTCACAGGCTCACCTAAGCAATTTTACATTTGCAAAATTAATTACCTTAGCGACATTTAAAAATTGTCGACTAATTTCATTTATGAATTCGAAAACAACATTGATCTTTTTTGAACGTATAGTGCTTCCTTGAAATGATACTTCTCTCATATTTAATCGACCAATTATGGAAATTAACTAGGTATACTATTTCTAAAATAGGTATAAAGCAGATACAAATTTGCTTAAATGTTACTTTTAAAATTACTTGTCTATACATATATACCTTGCTGCTGGCTGAGTTTGGCGAACTGCACAAGCACGTCCTTGAAGCTCATGGAATTATTAGGATCCGACATGTTCGGATTGCTTTTACAAGAATCTGTACTAGATGGCCTTGAATCAACGCTGTGCCCAGTTTCCACCATGGCTCCACCTGCTCCAAGGCTGACATTCACCGAATTTCTCATTCTGCGACCCCTGTATAATTCAAATACACAATTTTAGGAAACATCTATCCGCATAGCATCAAATTGTGATTTTTGATGATTTATATATTTATTAATTCGAATTTAGGGAAAAAGATAATTCAAAGCGAATATTTCGGGAACAAGACATAAAGAAAGAATTTGCTTATAACATGGTGTATATGGTACACTAATATAAGTGATTTCGATATAAGCGATTATCAGTTAGTTTTTGTTTATAACTTGTTATAAATAAAATCTTGTTCAAGTATTAGCTATGTGTACATAATCAGTCTCTTCTGAAATATAACACTCTTCTATTTTGACTTAATTCTGTACGCATTTAATATTTCTATTTTAAGTTGGTACCATGCGAAACAGTCCCCTAAATATAAGACAACTTACAAGATTTACACATCAAATATGTCGTTTTTATCATTTTATGTGAATTAACATACATAGTAACTTCTTTTACATTTTTTAATGAGATAGGAATTCAAAGCATAGACTAGCCAAAAGAAAATTCTACAACTATTCATCGTTTATCTAAGTAATTTTGAAACAAATTCTGAAGAGAATCTTCACTAATAAATCTTCTTTTTTCTCATTTTATGTGAATTAACATACATGGTACCTTCTTTTACGTTTTTTAATAGGATAGGACCTCAAAGCATAGACTAGCCAAAAGAAAATTCTACAACTATTCATCATTTATCTAAGTAATTTTGAAACAAATTCTGAAGAGAATCTTCACTAATAAATCTCCGTTCTATTTCGTCCTTATAACCAATAAAGAGTCGTCGCCTTCCAAAACACGCTAGTTAACGTGTAAATGATTACCTGCGTGGAACTGTTTCAGGGTGCCTCAGCCTGTAATCAGCGATAATAGACCTAACGTCGACGATGGCACCCTGCCGGCCCTCGCCGATCTGTCTGTTTTCTGGACTGAGCGCTTCAGCCTGCTTCCGACCATTTTCTCCTGTCTGTTTGGGAGGGGTTGATTGCCGTTGCGATGCTTGTTTCCCGGTCTTTTCTTTCTTAAAAGCTGGCGAATCGCGAGAGCTCTCCTCGGGCAGATCCTCCTTCGAACCGAAGTTTAATTTTTCTTTGGATACGGGAGTCGTGTTACCGCTGCTCTCCCATTCAGGTCCGAGCGCCAAGCTAGCCGGCGGTAATGTGTCAGCCAGCTGGCCGTTGCCTTCCATGAATCCCATCACTTGCCTCCTTCTTTCGATCCTCAGGTACGCTTCCTCTTTGAGCTTTCTCATGCTCAGGATTTCATTCCATTCCATTTCTTTGGCACGTGCTAACTCGTCTAAGGCCTACGTGAAACAGAGAACAAACATAGTAAATAAAGAGTGATATAGAGAGAACGAACATAGGGCACGTTTACATGGCTTCTAACTTTGACGCAGTGACGCTGATGTTGTAACAGCTTTCGAAAGGGGACTGGGCTGTCGAACTGCTTCAAGGTAAAGTCTGCTTTGGGAATTAATTTCAAGGAAATGAATCTAGGTCCAAACTTTACGTTTTACATAATGTTTATGTGTATCTTAGAAAGTTAATAATTATGTTTTAATTGCCTTTTTCGCGGGTTCAGAAATTATAAATTTCTAGAATAATAGTATCCAAGGAAATATATAAATAAATATTTTTAAAGGACACGTTATAGCGTGCAAAGGGGACTTCTTATTGCAAAAATGAACCTTTACCTGCGCAGTGACGTGTAAACGGACAACGTTGGTCTTTCAATAATTTCCTTGGAACTAACTCCCAAAGAAGATTATTTTTAAATTCTCTCACCTAAATTCCCTCAACACTGATACTACCAAACCCGATAATTTGACCCATGTACTTTGTAGAAAATTATCGTAACATAGAATTAATTTAATTAATAAATTAGTTTGGTCCTCTACCTTTCAATTAGAAAGATATAGTTGTATATACAATAGGTTTGACCTCTGTAATTTTAGTGTTAAGTCTACAGATTCTACGGTCTGCACTGAAACTTTTTTACAGACATTCCTATCCTCTCAGACATTGCTTGTACAAATTCCATTACAAGAAGGGTTGGTCTTAAGGTATTTTCACGACGAAAGGGGTGAACTGATACCGAGCAATGTCGCTCACCTGCACTTCGGCTCGAAGTTGCTCAGCCCTCGCAGCGAGCTCTTCCGCGGTAACTTTTTCACAGCCAACGAGAGACGATATATATTGTTCCCTCTGCTCCAGGCAGGACTTCTTCGGGGCGGAATTCCCGTTCGACGACAACTGCCCGTCCGTTGACTTTCGTTTCCTGCCGCCACCGCCGCCGCCTTCCGTTTCGGATTTCGGGCAACGCGAGGCCACGGACTTCTGCTGCGTTTCCACGGAGGAGAGGGTGGTCTTGGTCGTGGCCTCCGACTCAGAATCGCAGAGGGGTTCCTTTTTTATCGAAGCAGACCGGAGACATTCCACCGTAGCGGGCGCTGCGGCGGTTTCCTCTGGCAGGGCGGCTCCGTTCTGCTGGCTCTGTGGCACCTTCGGCGAAGCCCTCGACGAATCGTCCTCCCTCGTTTTCTCAGCCGAGTCCACCTTCTTCCCGTTTCCAGCGACACCTTCCATCGCGTGCATCTTGTTCAAACTGCAAAAAAACAAATAATATCCATGAGTAAAGCGATTCTTGATCAACTTGAACATTAATTTATATCCAGTAAAAAATGGTAATTGCGCGAGGCTACTTTTAGCAAAATTGATTATACTACCTTTATACAGCGTACAAATACTGCAGATGTTTAATTAATTCTCAATGGGCTGAACAGACTTTAAATTAAGGGGGCAAAATTCACTGTGAACGCACGAAAGAAAGCATATTTTCAATCATTTTTTTCTCAGAAACTATTGCATCAAATTGAATGAATATTTTTTCCTCTTAAAGGTATAATTAAGGAAAGTAATAAAAAAATTTTTTTTTAGTAAAAAATATTTCGTCATTTATTTACAAAATAATATGCAGATGATTTTGGCTCTCCTGGTAATCAGAAACAGAAAATCGAAAAAGTTTATTAAACTATGTCGTCGCACCTTTCGTCGGAACCTCCAAGTAGTTGATATTTTGATTTTTACTTACAATTTCACCCGATTTACGGTACAAAAAGAGTGTTTTTTTTCCCCTTTCACAAGAAACGCTGCCATTTTGTTTATTTTCGATGAAATAAATAAGTGGAGGTTCCGACCATAGGTGTGACGACATAGTTTAATAAACTCTTTCGATTTTCTGTTTCAGATTACCAGAAGAGCCCAAATCACCTGCGCCCGCGGATAACTGTTTTTTTTTTTATTTTTTTTTGGACACATGCATATTATTTTGTAAATAAATGACGAAATATTTTTTACTAAAAAAAAATTTTGTTATTTACTCTCCTTAATCATACCTTTAAGGGGAAAAACATTCATTCAATTTTATGCAATAATTCCTGAGAAAAAAATGATTGAAAATATGCTTCTTTTGTGCGTTCACAGTGAAATGGCCCCTTAAAAACACAAAGACATGTTTTTGTTAAATAGGTGAAAATACATTTTATCTAGTTCCTTAAATACTTGTATTGAAATAAATATCCACGTTATAACTAGATATTTATAAAACTCTAATAGTATATATATATACTAGTAAGTAACCTGAATTGCTCTACACTTTTCTTTGTATAAGAATAACTTGGAAAAATGATTTGTGTAACAAAAAGCACACGATCCAAATATTTTTTTTTAACGCAGCTGCATTTTCCAGAAAATAGTATAGAAAATTAGCAATTAAGTATTATCAAGTAACGCAATTTTGTCTCTATACAATTGTCGAGTCTCGATTAGGTGCTTCGACCTCACAGAGTCTGCGAGTTTTATTTTCTTTTTTTATCATATATCTCCAAAGGTCCTTCATTTTTTTAAATGCACTTTCTGTTAAGTATGCAGTTAAAAAAAATATGGCAACATTAAGTATCTGAAATGATAGAAAATTTGAAATAAATGAATAGATTACACGTCGACAAATGGAAAATTGATTACGGAGCGCAAGCTTGCCAACGATGACACTGATAAAACGATAAGTCTGTTTGTCAAGTTTGCTCTGACCTTGCATAGAAAATAGGTGTCACTGAGCGGAAGGACGAATGAAAAACGGCTTGTATGCGTACGAGTATTATCATCATTTTCATAACATCGTGTGGACAAATGTTTATATCGCCCCTTGCATGAAAAGATGGTGTAATTATACGAGTTTTCCGAAGGACTTTCAATTCCCTGCAAACGAATGCACTTGGGGCTTCAATTCTCCAAAGGCAAGGAAATTTGAAGATGTCGATCAGTTTAGAGTAGATTCGAATAAAACGAATGGAACAATGACACGTCGGAACTATTTCATATATTGGTTCAAGGAAGAAGTTCGTGACGATTCCGTTAAATAGCGCGAAAGTCGCAGAATTTTGATAACACAAATCCAATGATGTCATACTTTAGAACGTTTGAATGGTTATAGAAGTTTATAGAATATTTTGTAGTAAATACGTTGTAACGTTTGTTTATTTAGTCGAAAGTTATTGCATTTTAAAAATGATTCACGATTCTGAAAAAAATGCGTTACACTTAACAATATCACTTCGACCAAGGTGAACAAATTTGTGATTTGTGATATTAGTTTAATAAAGTTCATTTAAATTGTAAGAAAAATCTTGTTTGAATTTTGGTGAAAAAACGCCACGAACTTTTTCCTTGATTCAATATTACGTGTTTTATATAAGTATATTTTTTTTATACTCTTATTATTCTTTTATTACTCTTTCTTAAAAAGTATACAAATTTGACGGTATGATATTTCGTCAATTTCATTTGGCCAGAGAAAAATGATTACGTATAACCGGGGACTACTGTAGTCGTTCATATTTAATGTTATTCAATTCTATAATTTCGTTCAGTCGATCAATATTCGTACTGCAAATTAGTGCGTTAAAAGCAAGGATACTCCCACGACGATGACCCAGGGTGGTCTTCGCAACGTGTGCATGACCGTCCTGCGTTTACCCTCAGCATGAGGCACGCTTACACCCGCACTAGAATAGAAAGTGACCACGCAGTGGGGTTAATGCTTTCACGCCTCCCATGCGTTACACTGGCTGCCTACTTCAATGTGCGTGCGTGCGTGCGTCGTGCGTGTGTGCACAGCAAACGAAATTTCCAACTAAACATTTAGAAAATTTTAATTTTTTAATTTCAGTTCATCTGTAATTTCTTACGCTTCCTGATGGGTTTAAATTCTACACAATTTAGACCGGACAGTTGGGTGACATAAATCTCCAGGTTTATAATGGTTAACGATGGGTTTTCACGAATGAAATCGATGGATAAAATAGTAACTCTTTGGTTACTTGAAAGATCATTTTTAAACGAATGTACATAGCCGATGTATCCTAATATACCAGAATACATCATAAATAAAGAGTAGTAGTACTTTCCATTTAAAATAAATTACGGGGTCTCCCTTTTCCCCTCTAAATAAATAGCTATTTGAATTACGAAATTAAACATTTCGCGGTGAACAAACAAAAATGTAATCGTTGGATAGAGTAAACGCTTCAAACAAATTGCTGTATGTTATTTTTCACTCAGTTACTCGAATAAAGCGTCTACCATATCTGCTGCGAGTTAAATAAATTTCCAACGAAATATTTTCTCTATCGACTCAAGCATCGTTTACATGAAACAATCAAATGCGATTTTATACGACGAAAACACTTCGGTTATTAAAACACAGAGTAATATTACAGGTTATTAAAACACACAGTAAATATTACAGGTTATTAAAACACACGGTAATATTACAGATGCCAAACAGCTAATTTTTTATTTTTCTAAGTTCGTAACATTTTTTGCACAAAGTATTCTTTTCAAAACTGTATATTGGATAATTAGAAAAAAAATAATAATAATAATTATTTATATTATCTTACGTTTCTTAAATACGATAATTAAAGAATGTAATAATTGTCGAAAAATATTCCATTAAGTATGAAACCGAAAGCCATTACGAAAGGGTTAATTTCATACTGCACCATACTACACCATATTTAAATTTCATTACAATCTCTGACATCGAACAATGGAGAATTTACGGCGGAATAATCAAGTTCATGTTTGAATCTCGTTTCTAATTTAATCACAGTTTACCATGGATATCTCTAACGGTATCGCTGCTAAGTTCACGACTGATGCTACTTAGAAGACGTATGTGCGCACTCATTGCCAGAATTGGGATCTGAGAACGTAGAGATAATATCTCCATGACTAGAAACCCTCTAATAAAAGCTATGAAACAACTTTGCTCGATTCTGATTGCTCCCACCCATTCTTCAGCCAAGTAATAAATATTGTCACAGTTTGGCCACACTTCAAAAGTGTTTACAGTGCATGCATAACCTGTGCCTCTAGCGTTATAGTTTGGTAAAAGTTTGTAAGCTATAGCATCATGCTTGAACGCGTTATGAAGTAAAGTGCTCTAAGAGCAGATTCTTAATACTGTATTACACTTCTAAACCATTCTTAAAAAATGTTCCTTTCACGGGGGTATCCTGAATTAGGAGGTCTAAAAAAAGCGGTTTTTCGTGAATTTTTTTAGGATGCAAATACATAATTAATTCTATCGAACTTTTTATCCTATTTTCATACATATTTGAGTAGTCTGTACAAATTTTTTCAACAAGAAATATTCATTTCTTCTAATCAAAAGAAATTTTCATTTTCATACATTTTCCTTCTATGTGAACTAAGAAAACCCCGCAAAAATGGTGAAATGTGAAATTACTGCAAGTTTGAAAAAAATAACGAGTTTGTTTGGGTGAAAAAGAATCACTTTAACTTTTAACTTTTAAACAACTAAAAAAGTTGTTTAAAATTTTTTTTGTATGAATTTTTTTAGTTCACATAGGAGAAAAACGTATGAAAATGAAAATTTCTTTGGTTTTTTTGTGTCAAACCAAACTTACGACCTGCATCTTACGACAGAAGGTTTTAATTGTGAGGTGCTCTACAAATGTGCGTCACAGTCGACTCAATTTCAACATTTCTTGCTGAAGAAATTTGTACAGACTACTCAAATATGTACGAAAATAGGATAAAAAGTTCGATGGAATTAATGATTTCTTTCCTTCCTAAGAAAATTCACGAAAAACCGCTTTTTTAGACCTCTTAATTCAGGATACGCTCTTGAGCCGTTTTTCTCAAGTACGGTATTTACAAATTACTTCCTTTCCACAAACGTGTGTATCAGAAAATTGTTTAGAATACAGATCGTTGTGAAAAAAATTGTCGAGAAACGAAACTGAATAATACTTATTCATTGGAAAAATAATTCGAAACTCCAGCATACAACACTCGATGATTTTTAAATTAAATTTCGCGAAATTAGCTGAAAAACGGCATAACTCAACCTAACCTTTACATTGTTTCGTGACTCTTACTAGAAGGCCTATACGTATATCCTACTCTATAATATCTCTATGTCTGAGAAATTTCGTAGAGTTTCGTTTCTGTGCGAAGTACTTACTCTGTGGTAGAAATTGACTCGACGAACGAAACGTAAACATTGCGCGACCGAAT